CTTCGGCCGCTTCGGCCTGTTTACGCTTTTCTTCCTCTTCCTGATCTAATTCTTTAATACTTTCTTCCAGCACATTCGGCCAAAAGTCACCTTCAAAGTATGGCAAATCCGCCGCGGACGAAAGTCTGTCTTCCATGACTTGTTCCAAAATGTCCTGCACACAAAAGTTTTATTTGTATATCTTTCTTTCAACGCGCGTAAATAATAAAAAATATTTGGCAGAAAATATGTCGTCTGCAAATCCTATGTCCATTGTTTTTAATAACAAGAACATTAGCTTATACAGCAGACATTTATTTAAGTCTCATTTGACTCCAATATGATACTGCAACACTTATTGGAAACACTGGAGACTAGATATTAAAAAATAAAATAAAACGCGTTTTTGAACCGACCTTATAATTAAATATTATTTTCTCGTCCATTCCTTTGTCCAACATTTTCTTATACCACTCTTGTAATCTTTTAGGCTTTGGTATTGTCTGTTCTGCAGGATGGCAGTGAAAGATGTAATCATCCCCTTCGGAAGGTGGACATGCCCAAATGTGAGCCATAGTGTAACTACAAAAATATCCATCGTATTTTTTAAATACAACATCATATTTTAGATATTAAAGATAATTAGTATTGTATCAATATATTATATTAATGTAATAACTGGATATAATGTATAATTATATCCAGTTAATATATTTTTTTTTTAACTCACCCAAGCTGCTTTGCGTAATCAAGATATCCAAGAAGAATCTCGTGGTAAACAGCCGTACGAAATTGTCTAGGCCGGAAGAAATGGACAGAATCTAGATACGCGATATAAACTCGTCTTGTATTCGGTGGGGTGCATTCGCTCCCGTATTCTTGCACGTGCATGCCGAAAAAACAGACGTCGGTGCCGTCAACCTCCTCAAATGCAAATAACGCTTTCGCGCGATAAGGAAATTCGCCAGGCATGTCGCCATTTTCGACGAATCTACTTCGCATACCAGGCTTGACTTTGACCACCTTGTCGCTGGATGCAACCACTTTGATTGCAACTTCGCCGGCATCTGCTTCCTTCTTCTTTAGGAAATTATTTACACGTGTTTCTATATACGTGCCGAGCTTCGTTACAGGCAAGCATTTAGCGTTGAACTTATTTTCTTTGCGTTTCTGTCCTTTCTTCTTTAAACAGTTGTCACAGGTGAATCTATATGAAAAAAAGAAAACTTTTAGAATTAAAATACACAGTAAATAAAATATTAATTTTATCTAATTGCAAAATTAAAGGTTGTTAATTTTTCCGATTTTTTTCTTCAACAACAAATTGAAGTTTTTTATTATCGTTATTTACCCTAATGGCCAGATTGTTTCCATATGGAGTACACAAATTTTGTGTACCCTCCTTCCGCAATCCGTACAGGTTACAACAGGTTCCAATTCTAAGTGATCATTCTTCATCTCCTGGAATTGTTCCTTCTTGATGGCACTATGAAAGAGAAAGATAGAAATGCCATATATAAACTGAAATAACACATTAACAGACTATATCTTTTACACTTACGTTTGAGGTTGCGTTGGATCATCTCCCAACGTCACTGTGTCACCAGGAATGTCGTTGAAACATTTCTGACAGAAGGTGTATCTGTCGGACAGAAGACCAATTCCTTTTAGACTGCTATTAAATCGGCATCGTACGTGCGTTTTATCACACGAACAACGATGAACGACGACCAATTTATTCGGTGTATCCAATTTCGGCAAGTGTTTATATGTTATATTCGATTTTTCGCAATAACACATGCATGCAATGGTATCGCCAATTCATATGCGCAATTCATGTATAAACTTCAAGTATAAGTTAAATATAAATAAAATTTGTATGAGTAATTATTATAAATTTTAATTTAAAAAGAAAATGTAGGTCAGGAGACTGACCTGCTTTTGCATGTACTTCCAAAAGCAGGTTAATTAACCTGCCAATTTAATCTAGCGTATTCGGCAACAAAGCATTTGAATAAAAAATGCCTATAGAAAACGAATACACAGAATATGCAGAAATTATACTACTCTTTAAATATAAATACCCTATAGGAATTGAATAAATCTATAAAATCACTATTTGATAAAACTTAATTCGAATTCTACAGATTGATTTAATACATGTACTACAGTGCATACTGACCTGTTTTGATACGAGTAATACTTTGCATCCCTAGGTATTGTGCAGAGTTGCTTGCCGTAGCAACAGAGCACCTGTGGGTTGAATGTATATTTTCTCCCGCAGCAATATCCCAAAGCCTGCATCACAGGATCTATCTCTTGCTCAAATACTTCTGAGAGCTGTTATTAACGGAAAAAAAAAAAAAACAAAACAAGAATTATAAATTAGACATAAATACGTAAATTATAGAAATTATATTCGATGAGATACTATCTCATTGAATAGACATTACCTTAGTACAGTTTTTATAGACTCGAGAAGTCGTGCGATTGTAGAGCCAGGCATTGTCAAACATTATCCACACATCATCGATGTACTCCCACAGATCGCTGTATTTCTCCGTGTCAAGTTTCTTCTTGATCGTCGACAAATTCATCGGTTTCTTTACGATGGTCGGGTAATCCGGTATACCTAACGCCTGAGGATCCACGGGTTGTCGGAACGGTATGGATTCAGGATCTTGTCGATACAGTTTCTCCAACGTCGGCATCAATGCCTGGCGTAACTCGTCAGGCTTGAACAAATACTTTCTTTTATCGGTGGACATGCCGCTTGGTTGAATCGGTTCCGGTGCACCTGAAGCACACATGGCACGTATTTTTTCACATCTTTACAAATCATATATTTTATGTTTTTAAAAAGAATCTAAAAATATATATATATATATATATATCTTCATATACATATAAGATAAACTTTTCTAAGTAGAATATCGTACAACTCACTTTGTGTTTGAGGTTGTGCTGCTAATCAAACATTGCCCTGTGTGCCGGGCGTTGGCATTAAGAGTAACGCATCAAGAAAATCAAGAGAAACGCTCATGTTTCCAATTCTTCTTCTTCTTTGCTTGAATGGCTCCTGCTCTCGAACGAAGGTCAATACAGCCACAATCTAGCGTATAATGTATACAGAAGTGGCGTTAAATGAGAATACAAAGGCGTTAACAATAATAAAAATCCTCTTAGAATAGGAGAAAGTCCAAAAAATAAGACAATGTTTCCAATGATTGATAATCTGCCTGGACATACTACAGTGCGGCATAGTGCAATTCTTCCCAGATTGACAACTCGTCATGTGATTCAAGACGTTTGTTCAGAATTGGAACATTAAATTCAGTCGATGGAATTAAACGGCAAATTCAACCGACAAATTCGAACAATAAGACTACATCAAAACACGAGCGAGGGTAAACACTGTCGATCAGCCAATAAGCGCGTGATCGCATGATATTCGAAATGAAAAACTGTGTTGACAAACAGCTGGATCTCGAAGGTTCGACGTCGAAAAAACCTTATTATTCCCATCGGCAGAGCGCGAGTTTCCGCGGTCGGTCGATTTAGTCTGCCTACGACAACGATTCGAGCCAGTCGAAAATCATCGCACATCTCAATTCGCATTTCTATTATTCTCGCTCGTGTCGCGTACGTAGTAGGCTTACTCGTCTCAGAATCGTTCCGAATTGTCTCGCATCCGATCGCGCACACATTCTCACGGCGGTCAATTCGGTAAAATCTCACGCTGCATTATTTTCTCTTTTCGTGCTAAGACATTGTGAATGTTAATTGTTTGGAGTCCGAGAGTCGACGCTCGTTATCCGCATCGCGAATGTCCTCTGCCTCGCGCTAAATTCCAGCCAGCGTTCGCGGTCAAGATTTCCGTTATCGCGAGAGTTTCTAGCAAGAAGCTATTAATCAACATTTCCGAACCGCGCAAAAGGGCAGTAATTAACAGGACAATCAAGATATCCGTCGGAACCGCGGAATACGTGCCGTCGCTCGCTCCTATTCTTCTAAATAAAACGAAATCAAAATCATCTGCATTCGAATCTTGTCTATCAACATCTTATCCTCCAGCGAATCCACGGATTTGCGTTACACACCGCTTCTCGCTCATCTCTGAGCGTCTCTCTCTCGACTCCCGAACAACGTTTTTCATCGTCTTACAATCCGGTAAGGTACACTGTCTCATCTCACCATTCGCTACACTTTCGCGGCGTTGGCATTTATGTGTATGTAGAAGTAGCACCAACTGCTGTTGAATAAGTCTACATTTTTCAGGATAGAGTGTAGATTTTGCAATCCCTAAAGATAACAGATAAAAGAGATCTTGGTAAAGATATACCAAGTTTATTTAGCAATGTTACTAGAAATAGTATTTATAATAATGAGTAAATATAAACCTACCAGCTTGAGTCGGTACAGCCATTGGGCGTTGAGCACCTGGTTGGGGACCTGGTTGTCCTCCAGTCGACGCTCCCGACTGAGATTGACACCGGGACTCGGTGCGGATGGTTGTGCCTGTTGTGCTGCCGTTCCACCTTCCTGACCGCCTACAACGTTCGTAGTACCAATAGGGCCGGCCGTTCCGGTGAATCTGTTGGCGGCTGCTGCTGCTGCTTGCATAGCGGTGATGTTTGTACCCACAGCCTTTTGTTGCGGTTTGACAAGACCTACGAGATTATTGATGTATACGGTTACTTTCGGTCGAAGCCCACCAATATTTGCATAACCTGTATTATATTATAAATTTTATTTTCTAAAGTCAAGAACATTTATGTCCTTGGCAATTTCACTTAAAGTCAATCTGTTATGTATATATTTTGATACATTACAAATTTGCTTCTTACATAATCGTTTCGTAATCGCTTTGTATCAAAAACTCTGATAAATTGCGCAATCATACAATAATTAACGTATAATGTCATCTATTCCGCCAAATTAGGTACGCAGTAGGCATTTAATTGGGTATTTAAATAGTGTGAGAGAGAACGAAAGAGTAGAAAAAAAGAGTAAGTGAGAGAGAAATTTAGATGGCGTTAGGCCGGATTTACACCTTGGCAGAAAAGCAGAAAGCAGAAAAGCATAGGCCAATCAGAACTCGCGCTAAGAAAGCAGAATGTACTGCTAATTTTCAGCGTGAGTTCTGATTGGTTTCTGCTTTTCTAGCACGAGTTCTGATTGGCTTCTGCTTTTCTGCTTTCTGCTTTTCTGCCAAGGTGTGAATCCGGCCTAACGCCATCTAAATTTCTCTCTCACTTACTCTTTTTTTCTACTCTTTCGTTCTCTCTCACACTATTTAAATACCCAATTAAATGCCTACTAACAAAAATGATTTTGAATTCAGCCGCAGGAACGCCACATTACTTATTTCGCTCATGCGCACTTTGTTTTGGCCAACACAAAGGGTGTGTTCCGATATACACTGTTAGTACTGGCAGTGCTGAAAAATTGTTCCGCTGCTACGTATTGTTGTTAACTGCTGCACGGTTATTATTAAGGCCCGTCTACATAGGACGCAACACGCCAGGACGCAAGCAAATCGACCAATCATAGTCGATTATTCCGAGAATATTCGACTATGGCCGGTATTCATAGTCCGTTCTTATATTCAAAATCGTCTTAAGTACGATCTTAAGATACTATACGGCCATTTCATTGGTTGAATGGGATCTTAAGACGACCCAAGACCACACTTAAGACGATCTTGGATATAAGAACGGACTATGAATACCGGCCTATGATTGGTGGATTTGCTTGCGTCCTGGCGTGTTGCGTCCTATGTAGACGGGCCTTTAGCACGCAGTGTGCTGCGACAGCATCTAGTTCCATCAATGACATCATAAATGGTAGCCATATTGCTACTGCGGTTACTGCAGCTCTCAAGGTGAAGCAGTTAGGGCCGTGGCACATAGAAAAACTTAAGCAGTAAGACTTAAAACGTAAGCGAATTGACCAATCGGGTGCGCATATCATTTACTAAATTATAATGAATAACAACTGCCACTGTAAAATCATGCTCTGATGTAATAGCTCATAGAAATCTTAGCAAGCATTTTCAAAAATACTGAGAGTTAAGTGTAAAATGTTTAAAACAGTAAATGTATTCATATCGGAGATAGTTATTCTACTAACGGAAATAAATGATATATGTTTGTAATTTAATGAGTATGACTAACATTTTTATTTAACATATGTTCTCTAGATTTGAGAAGAAGACAAAGAATTTGCAGATAGCAGAACGAAATGCAATGATACATGAAAAATGCTCCAGTGATTTGCAATCGTGGGCGAAGTGCAAGACACTTACGGAGAAACAAAGTGATCGATCGAAAGCATTGCTCGATGCTTTGAAACACCAGGGGAAGGAGCAAATCGATTTTACAAACGTTGTCATATCACGTGTCTTGTGCATATCGTGGACAAGACCTATAGAGGGAAGTATATTTCTGCCGCAAATGGCAGCATACATGCAAACACAGGGAAGAATGAATTGTAGCGATATTATTCATCAGGCATTGCAGGAGGTTTTGTGCATGTTTTCGAGAGGGGAGGATCCTTTGATAGACGTGTCATCTGGCTGTGAAGACAGTCCGAATAGTCAAGCAAGTCCTTTGTTAAGTGGTGATCTTGTGGATTCTTCATCTTGTCAAAGACCATTGATACCAATACGAGGCGACAACTCATCAGAACCAAAAAGTTTTACTTATTTATTAGATTGTTATTCAAGAATTGCAATTGAAGAAAGAAATTATGAAAAGGTGCGCACATACATACACATATATCTTCAAAATTAGATTCAAAATTTTATTAAACTAATTCTTTTTTATATATTTTATAGCAATCCAGTGTACTTCTCTCCGATACTCTTTCCGATGTAGTGACAATTTTGAAAGCGCAATGTGTTCAGTATTCCTGCTCCGTTTTACAAGGGTCAATCGGCATTTGCCAAGCTGATGTACATAAGTGCCTCATTCATCTTTTCTATCGGATATTATCGCAGAAATTACCTCGGGGCTATCTTCGCGAGCTCGTGGCTAGGACACACACGAATTCGAACATGTTCGATAAAATTTTCGCTCCAATCTTGCGAAACCTGTATATCGTGATACAGCAGGCGACCTTATACAGCAACACGCCAAGAAGACCGTTGGAGGCGCTAGGCGAACTGATAGAGATTCGCTGTGGACCAAACAGCAATATACATCCGATTTGCCGTTTGATAACGAATCAAATTCAATTCTTGCCTGATGTTATGATATCAGCAGCCGGAAGAGAGCTCTCGAGAACTTCACTCCTGGGACCGTTTCTCTCGGCATTGCTATCTGCCGAAATGCAACCGAAAATGCTGGAGGGATTCTGCAATAAAAATCCTATCACGAACAAATCGACGATTCTCATACATCAGCAAGTGTTGGAGAAGATCAGAATGTCGTTGCACAAGATGTTTGATACGATACTCACAAATAGCAGCTGCCGCGATGCCACTCTTGCGTACTTGGCGGCGTTGCTACGTCACAACAAGAAACGCGCGCAAATACAGACGGAGGACAGTCCCTCCTTTGCCGCAGATGGATTTATGTTGAATCTACTATCGATTTTGCAAATGCTCTCTGTGAACATCAAGCTGGATACTGTAGACCCGCTATATCCATTTCACCCTTCCAATTCCGTCGAGATAAAGAACGACACAAGACTGAAACTCACTTCGCAAGAGGTTGCGGAATGGCAGAAACATTTGGACAGCACACATAAATGGACGGAACCGAAGTTTCCGACACAATGTTGGTTCCTCACGCTGCATTGTCATCACATCGCGCTGTTACCGGCGTTGCAAAACTATCGGAGAAAATTGTATGCCTCAAAGGATTTACAAGAAATGCTCGACGAATTGCAAACCACAGAACCCCAATGGAAAGATGGTCCTTTAGTGGAGTACAATAGAGACTTGATCAAACAATGGAAGCAACAGTTGAAGCAACTGGTTACATTCAAATTATGTGCAGAGGTAGCTCTGATAGAGCCCATCTTTTTGAGAAGATGCTTAGGCTTTTATATATCGGTCGCCGAATTTTTGCTGA